GTGACCCCTAAGATACCCTGAAATTTGCAGACCTCTAGCTCATCTCCTTCCTCTTACACGGACGACGGACGGACGGACGGACGGACGGACACGAGAGCGGTTGCATAAGCCCGCATTAATGCTTTTTTAAAAGCAGAAGGGCGGGCTAAAAAACTGCAGCGGTGATGCGATAGCGTCCGTCGCACCCGTTAAACCGGCGGGAATGACTCCGAGCTTGACGCGCGACGGCGCTATACGGTTGCGCCGTTCAGCCAATCCAAGCAATGCTCGCCCGGCGCCTCTGTTTATCTGGGGCCGTAAAGCTGCGCCGAGGGGCTTTTAAACCTCCTCGGCGGCGGCACCCGGCCCGGCCCGGCCCGGCCTCCACCACCCGGCAACTGTCTGCTTACCCCTCCGGGTACCCACGCAAGTTTACGTCTTTTCTTACTGTGAGCTTACTTTGGTAAAAAAATAAAATAAAGAAACAATCATTCCGAGAGGTTCAAGCAACTCAGAAGTTTCGTGTACTATAAATATATTCACATGAATATTAACACGAGTATAGATTGTCGAATTTTCACTTGAACCGCGAGTATCTAAAAGTGTGGGCCCTTCGAATAATTCCAGGTCAGGTTCTTAATCGGTCTTTCAATTTTACACTGCGGCCCTTCCTCCGCTAACCTATGCGAGCCTCGTACACCACCAATAAATAATATTGGCGTTCTTCCCTCTGCGGCCCCACATCACATCACATATGCTGGCAGGGCGTCGTAACATAACGCAATGCGCTTTTAAAGAGTTTTCAGGCTTTCGCTTTGGAAACGCGTTCTTGTACGGAATACGCTTTAAGGAAACCGAAAAACGTTTCAATAACGCTTAACAAGTTGAAAATTGATTTTTGTTTTCAAGCGTTTCCATACGCGTTACGATACGTTGCGACGCCTAGCATGATGATGATAGTGGAGCTCCTGCCTAGCGCCTGCCGAGCGCCTGCGGAGCGCGGGGTAGGCAGCCCGGCGGGCGGCCGTGCGGCGGGGCGCGGGGGGCGGCCTACCCGGCCGGGCGGCGAGGAGTGCAGCACAGCGGCGGCGCGCCATTACCCGCGTCTCCGTATCACAAACAAAAAAGAGAGCGCCCGGCCCGCATCTCGATAGTATCGATCGAGCGAGAGATCGATTTCCCCGCCCGCGCGCGCACACACACACACGAGCACGGCTCCAGAGGCGGAGCGCCGGAGCGGGGCCTCTCTCTGGCGGCGGCAGCAGCACCAGCGCGCGCCCGGCCCGGGCTGATGCATGGCAAATACTTGGCCGTCGCCGCGGGGAGGCGTAAGTAGTGTATTCAATCTTCTTTGACATCTCCAAACATGACAGCCTTCCATTCCCACTCCTCCGCGCACCCTCCCCTCTCCTCGACACCCCCTCTCCCCCTGTCCGCGTCCCACGCACACCACTCTCCGGCACCCTCCCCCCACCCTACTTCTTGATTCGTTTACATTGTGCCCATCACGCCGCGCCGCGCCGTGGTTCTGTCGCGGGGCCTACAGAGACAGCCTGCCCCCCTCCCCTGCCCCCTCCTCCTCTCCTGAGCGCCCAGCTGTGATAATGAGTCCGCAAATAACTCGCCGGCCAGCGTAACTAAGTATTGTGAGCCCACAACAACAACAACAACAACGCATTCTCGGCATTATTTCGTGCATCCCCACCCCCTCCTCCAATCCCCGTCTTCATTCGTCTCACCACCCCAAAAAAGAGAACATACTTTTGTTTAGTCGAGTATTCTTGGGGTGGGGAGAGGCGAGGGCGAGGGCTCCAGATGACGGAGCCTGGGAGCAGCAGCGGCGGGCGGAGAGCCGCCGGTAGAGAGAGAGGGGTAGAGACAGATAAAAGGGGGAGGGGAAGGGGGAGGGTCCGCTCTGGTGGCGGGAATGTAGAACAACGCGGAATAACACACTACTTCTCTTCCGGCCCCTGGCGGGAAGTGGCTAGGGCGAAAGGGTGGGGGGAGGAGGGGGGAGCAGCTCCGACTATGCTGCTGGCTCCTCACCCTCCCCTTCCCCCCGCGTCCAAACACCACCGTCTCATCCAGCTCGCCTCTGCTTTCCTCTTCTGGGCGCCCCAACCTTAATGTTTCCGGGCGAGCGGTTTTCGTTTCGACCGGTCAACAGGTATGCAACCACCTGCCGTGTATCGCATCGCCCACGCCTCACCCACGCCTCGCCAACAACATCGCCCGCCACAGAGAGTGGGCGAGCGGGAGGGTGGTGAGTGGGAGCAGAGAACCCCTGCTCACCTTTAAACTGACCCGCGCGCCCCACCCACGGGGTGCTCGAGCGAGAGCGGTAACGGGCCGGGAGCCTCGTCCTCGTCGTGAGCATTACACCAAGCGCACGAGTATACGGGCGGACAGGGGTCGGTTGCACCGACCCCAACCGCACAACCCCGAGCCCCCGTGCGAGCCGCGGCGGATTAAAAAGTTTCAATGGGCGGATGATGCTTCCCCGCTTGCTAACAGGAGGCAGCGGCAGGGCAGCCCTCCTCCTCTCCGGACTTGCGGAAGTGGTTAGCGATTTTTCATCACGGTTCCCCCTGGAATGGGAGCGGAAGCAGCGCAACGCCGGGCCACGCCTCAGAGAACTTCTCTCTCCACCGCAGACGCCCGCATGGGGCGTGTCGTCTGCGACGTCACGCGGTCGTCGCGCAAGGCGAGGCTCACCTGGTGTTCATGACGTGGTCCTCGTGGTTGCCGCGGTTGAGGAACACCTCCCCGGGGAAGACGAGCAGCACGCCGAGCAGCAGGAGCAGCACCTCCAGCCCCTTCTTGCCGCGGTCCACGAAGTCGCCGTTGAAGATGTACGGGCTGTCTGGGGACGGGAGGCCGTTCTGCGGGGACAAAGGGGATCGAGTCAACGGCAAAAGAGCAAAGGCGGGGGGCGGAGGGTGGGGGAGACAAAGAGAGTGACACACTAAGAGAGAGAGAGAGCGAGAGAGAAAGTGAGAGGGGAATGAGAGACGGCAGAGCAAGGAAGAGGCGGTGAAGAAGTCGTGGAGGGGATGGAGGCACGCGGCGGCGCCAGCGCCAGGAACCATCCATTGTCTCCGGTGCCGGACGCCCCTTTGTCGCCTCGTATCAAATCAGAACCGCAGCGGAAGCCGACCAACTTTTATCTCCGTCGCCAAAAGACGAGCCCACACTCACTCACTCACTCACCTTGTGGAAGACGACGAGCAGGTCGTCCAGCTTGCCGTGGAGGTCGCCGCAGATGGTGACCTGCTTGCTGACGGCCGTGCTGCACTGGTTGAGGTTGGGCAGGCGCTTAAGGTGCTCCACCGCCTCAATGAGCACGCCCGCGACGTACTTGGCGTGCAGGCGGTGCGGCTGGAAGCAGAGGGGAGTGAGTGCGCACCACCACCATACCACCACCACCACCCCTACGACCGTCATTGAGGTGGGGAGGACCCGGAAGGACCCGCAAGGGCAGGACACACCGCACCATTTGTCAAAATGGACGCGCGGCGTAACAAATGTTCCAGTGCAAAGTGGACGAGCAGGAGCGGGGGAAGAGGGGAGGTGTCGTCCAGGCCGGGGGCTGCCAGCAGCGCGCACCACCACGGAGACCTCCCCACTTACAGCGCCCGCCCCTGCTCACCATGGGGAGCGGGAGCGAGAGGGTCTAACGACCACGCGGCGGGCGGGCCGTCTTACCTTCTTCCGCCGGAAGGAGTCTATGAGCGCCTCCAGGTCCTTCCGCCGCAGCGGGAACTTGAGGTGCACGCCCTTGTAGGCCGGGTCCACGGGCTGCGTGAGCAGGTCGTGCTCCAGGGGGTTGGTGGCCTGCTGCGCCGCCGCCGCCGCTGGACACACGCGTCATTCAACCACCATCAATAATAAAACAACAAAACAATTGGAATGCGACGGTAATAGAGACGGACACCATCTGTCTTCGGCCCTGTCATGTTTTCGGCGGTGAGTAAAACCATGGTCGGGGTAAGTCTCGAGGCCGCGACC